TTATTCCACTTTCATAGAAGGTTCTAGACTTACAATCGAAAAACCCTCTGAGGTGCATTTAGCGGTCCTTCGGAGGATTGAACGATTTCCCACTCAAAGTATTCTGTAGAAACCTACACAAGTAGTAGTCTGATGGTGCTATGTCTGCATTACATGTTGGGTATGGTAGGACATCATACCTATGCTCCAGCAAACTCTCCCACGCTTATTTTTTCTAGAAGCATGTCTTGTACTCGCATAGGGAGGCTAGATTTGCTGCACGCGATCTTCGCATCTCCTTGTGGTCCAGCTTGCACTTGCCTTGCGTACTGTTCTCATGAGGGTTGCCGGTATACCCGTGTCTCGAGGTTGCAGCAGGTGTCTGTGACCCTGTGTGTGGCGAGCGGGCAGCATAGCCGACTGGTCCAGGTTTGTGCAGTGTTAGGGTCAAGTGGTGCCGACGTCGTAGATGTTTGCTGCGAGCTTCTTCTCCCTGCGCCGGTGAATGCGTGCATGATATTTTTGGACTCACGAGTGCATAAATAAGCTATGATCCGCTTGTATGGTGAACTCGGCAGTGTTCCGTGTTCTCCTCTACTATTACTGCTTTGTGCTTGCTTACTTTCTCATTGCGTTTCGTTCGCGATTTAGATGTTGAGTTTGTTTGTTTCCTTTTCACATACCTCTTTCATTTTGTTTTGATTTTTGTTCTGATTTATGTTTTTACCCACGTGTTGCCAACTCCTTACAGTGCGGGATTTCTCACTCTCTGTTGTCGAAGTGCGTTCACTAGACGCACCACAAAAACAAATAAATAATCTTCCGCCCCTGGATTTTGACTTTCGGAGTGGTTTGCTAGAGCTTATTAGGCAGGCTCCACGATCATTAAAGTTGTCGTATACGACCTATTCCTCATCCTCCGCTTTAAAGCAGCTCACTTTTGCTTTGTTTGAGCAACAAGTCGCACACGGAGGCGCGTTCCATCACATTACGCTCGCTCACTTCTTGAGGTAACCGAACATCGAGGCGCTTGATAAAGTCAAGTTCCCGTAAATGGTAGCGGATGGCTACTTTTGGAACGCTAATTCACTGTCCTATTTCACGAGTAGCGATGGGTCGGTTCGTTTCGGTTAACATTTTGACTACGCCGTTTTCAATTAATGATAGCCTCCTGAGCGATGTCGACTTTCTAGGGTGAATTCATTCTGCTTGAATTCTGCAAACCACTCACGCACTGCACGCTTCCCTAGTGCATTGTCTACCATAACATCAAACCTTTCTCGCAGCTTGAGCCGCGTTCTTGCCCTTGCAGTGGATAAAAAGCATCAGGTGTCATGCGCACGCTGGTGCTCATTCTTAACACGAGTTCATACAGAACGACTTTGTGGAATGTTAACAGAATCCGAACACGGTCATAGAGGAAGAAGTACCCTTTCAGAAAATGTTAGGTCCTTGGTCTTTTGCACAACAGTCGATAAACCTAGGGAGTTCAAGAACGGCGGAAACTTTCCGGACACCCAATTATGTTCTACTTCGATAAGATATGATATGATAGATATGATTGTATCCAGATAAGATTCGAAAGCCTTATAAGGCTCTTGACGGGAAGAAGTTGGAGAAGAAAAACAAATGCCGTGCGCTACTTGCGCGCGGCACGCGCTTCGACACATTTTTTTTCTAACTAAAGGGTGCTCAGCGTGGAAGAAATGTCGAGGTCCCAGAGTATACAAATGTTTTACACTCAGAGCGCTGAAACCACTGAGAAGAGTCAGATCGTCTCTCGTAGCCATTTTTCCTCTTCCATGATAGTTTGTGCTAGAATCTCTGCCATCAGAGCGATATCGCAATTTTGGTGTGGTACAAAATTTTATCTGAACCTGTTCAAAAAGGGTTTTTCTGAAAGCAGCTGAGGGAAAGACTTTTCTAGGGATCACCTGTATCACCTGTATCACCTGTCGTCACGTTGATCATCGATTTCCTCGAGCGGGCGCCAGTAACGTCTCCATTCGTCCCTGTCACGAGCCAGAGTGGTCCAGTGAATCGTTCCCGCTTCAGGGACACGAGGTTCAACATTCCTTTCGTTCAGAGCTTTCGTGAAGAAGTCTGACCATCTCGTTGGCGGCCTTCCTGGAGTTCGTTTGATGTCCCGAGGGATCCAGTCAGTAATCGCCATGGTCCAACGGTCATCACTATATCGCATAAGGCCCACCTGATCTTCGATTTCTTGGCTAATCAACGGCATCCCTGATCTTCGTTAGGTCACGGAGCTCGGAACTCCGGATTCCCTTTTGCACTTGCGTGTATAGGGAAATTCCGAGCATCGTCCTTTCCAAAGCGCGTTGAGTAACGCTGACAGCATGCTCATCCTGCTTTCGTAGAGTCCAGGTCTCCGAGGCGTACGTCAAAGCAGGAAGGACAGCAGTGTCGAAAAGGTGAGCGCGGAGCCGAATGTTCTTTGTCTCCTTCACTACTCCCTCGATATTCTTAAATGCCCCCCACGCGGCGCGTTTCCTTCTGCACAGCTCTGGAGCTAGGTCGTTCATCATGTTGACTTCCCGACCTAGATACACATAGCTAGAGCATTCGGAGATGTTCTTTCCGTTTAGCGTGGAGGGAGCATCAGGTACCAGTCCGTTTTTCATGAACATCGTCTTCGTTAGGTCCAGCCTCAAGCCGATCTTTCCACAAGCACTATCAAACTCGGCCAGCATTCGTTCCGCCTGCTCGATGTTCGGTGTTATAAGCACGATGTCGTCTGCAAAGCGGAGGTGATGTAGGAAGCGGCCGTCTACCTTCACTCCCATGTCTTCCCATTCCAAATGACGCATGATATTCTCGAGGGCGGCACTGAAAGTTTGGGCGAAATAGTATCGCCTTGCCGGACACCTCTCTTCACGTTGACAATGACTTCCTTATAGAATGGTGAAATCCTGGTCGTGAAGCTGTCGTAGAGCTCACGAAGCATCCTTATATATTGCGTAGGAACACCCTGGTTGCCCAGGGCTTCAATTACCGCTTCCGTCTCAACGGTGTCAAAGGCTTTCTTGAACGTAAGACACAGCGGCATTTTGTACTCTCGCGATACTTCAATGAGCCTTGTTAGGGTGTGGATATGATCGATTGTACTGAACCCTCTCCGAAACCCTGCTTGCTCGCATGGCTGTCCTTCATCTNATGGTGTGGGTCGTCATGATAAATTCGGACAGCCTTTCACCGTGCTCATTCCATTCCACTCCGTGAGTCCCGATGTGAAGCTCTTCAGCCGTTCTTCTGGGGCCAATCTTGGCGTTAAAATCACCGACGATGACCTTGAAGAAAGTGTGGTCTTCTCTGTAGAGCCTCTCCAGATCCATATAAAACGCTTGCAACTCTTCTTCTTCGTAGCTCGATGTTGGTGCGTAAGCAACGAAGATGGTTAGAGCTGGGATTGAGCCACATCTTCTTAATCGCAAACGTCCGATTCAGGTTGTTAAGCTTTCGTACGAATCGATGTTCATGGCCAAGTGCGTATTGATGAGGACACCTACGCCGCCGACGCCTCTGCTGTTGCATGTTCCAAGGAACAGTTCTTCTCCAGTCTCAAATAGAGCGTGCAGCGGGCGATGCCTTCTCGTCTCGGTCAGTCCGATGACGTCGTACTTGATCTTCCTAGCTTGCTCATCAGGTCTTCTATACACGCTTCCGATGCAAGCGTCCGTGCGTTGAAAGTACAGATCGCCATCTTAGTCCTCCTCCTTTTGGGCAGCCTGTTTTGGCCCTGAGATTTTAGCAGGCTCTCCCGAGCGGTCCTACCCAACCTGCCGTATTGGGGGCTCCCTCAGGTTAAGGGGAATGAGGCCCATTTCTATTACTGTTTTTGGCGTGAAGATACCCAACGTGCAGCTTGCTAGGCTCTGACGTGGGGGCTATTGACTCCGGGGGCTTGCCAGGCTATCCCGAAGTGGACAAGGGGCTTTGTTTTTGGAGGCGGCCCCGAATCGCCTCCCAGATACTTCCCAGCATGACTTGTTCGTCACTCGAATGCAAGCTTTTGGCCGAGTCGATGGGCAGGATACCAACTGCACCCACAGACTCTCCACACACATATGCGTGGATCGCCTGCGAGAAACAGAGGGTATATCGACCCAGCACAGCAGAATCAAGGAGTCCATCTCCTGAATCCACCTACGTCTCTGGGCAAGTACCGGTGACTTTTGGTCGGCGATTAATTCCCCTATCCGCCACCTGGGGACGCCCTACGTAGCCTCGTCACTAACCGGCCGGGGATCTTTCAGTGAGAGGGAACCCTCAGTGAAGGGGATCCGTAGGCATAGAAAATAGCTCACATTAATTCGCCATGTATCAATAAGAACCGCGCTGCGGTTTTTGTAGCCCAATTCTTTTGTTACCATATTTAAGGCACACACTGTACTTCATCATATCAAAGATTTGACCTCTACTTCTCTGATAGATTTGAATGGTTCTCCTTCTCTTATCTGATTTGAACTGATCGAGCAGTGACAACATTTCAGGTTACAAAATGCATCTCTCTGTTTCTGTTTTTTCTCTCTCTATTTATCAGAACAAATGGAAGCACAAATGTTTGCTTAGAAAATATAAAGCGCTAAGGTTATTTCAGTTCCTAGTGGATTGACGGGCAGAAGTAGACATTTAGTTGATTGATTTGAAAGGCATCAGGTACTTTCATCAAGACATCTTCATTGTGAGGTGTTGGACAGTGTCATAAAAGCCAGTAAAAGTGTGTAATTACTTTTGATGTGTTTTTCCCCTAGAAGTTCTCGGTTTTCTATTGCAATTCTTTTGATTGCCGTTGAAGTTCAAGCCAAAATCTTTTTGTAAATAGTCGTGAATGAAAGAACTACGAGGCTCACGTGCGAATGTAGAGCTAGGCTACATCGAAAAATGGAATATTTGACTAAATTCCTTCATTTGTAGGGCATGTCCGAATATCTGATCTTGGGTTAGCTGTGGAATTGAAGGACAACGAGCCAATAAAGGGAAGAGTAGGAACCGTAGGATATATGGGTGAGGATGCTCTCGATTATCAATCTTTCTTCTCTTCACCGCGTTGCTGTATGTGTTTTATAGCTCCTGAAATTGTGAAGAATGAGCGCTATTCATATGGTGTGGATTGGTGGGGCCTTGGATGCCTCATTTACGAAATGATTGAGGGAAAGGTATGTTGAAACATAATGCACTGTGCGGGTCGGAATTGTGATAACAGCCCTGTAGTCAATCATATCAATTCTCCTCTGTATTAAATATAACAATCCATACAGTTTTTTGCATTTCACGAAACAGATTACATTTCTAACTTACTGGCGATACTTAGCGATTGACATATTTTACAAGTAACGGAAGCGTCACTGAAACAAGGCAGGTGATGTGTCAGCCATCGGACGCTTTGAGAAGTTGAGAACAACGCGCTTACAGCTACATTTGGGAGGAATATCACGAAAGCAGAGCGGGAGTTTGTGTAGCAATGAAGCTAACTCTGCGCGCAAAAAGGGGGAGGGAGTGGATATTTCATGAAGCTTCCCGCGCAAAATCGTGAAAGATATCTACACAACGAGACCTTATTACGGCCAAAACGTCATTTCCTTGGAGAGCGGGCTAAAGAGAAGAGAAAGGATGACTCTCAACTCTGCCACGCCGTTTTCGCAGAAATTATTTCACGGAATTTTTGTTCACCGACGAAAAAGTACGGTGACACAAGCAGAACGAAACGACTAAATAAACTTAGCGACAGGATTTATGCGAAGTTGAAAGGGAAGGAAGTGGTACAGCGCAAGGTTACTCACTTTCTGTGATGGTCTTTTCGAGCGTCACCGCGGAGGCAAAAACCTCGCTAGTACTTCAGGGAGTCAAAATTAGTGGGGGTGATTACTTGGTCTCGCCAGGCGCCACAGACATAGGAGACGATAGCGATTCAAACCGGACATATCATCAACACGTAGCTCTTGTCTGCCGACCGGGATTCATTCAGAAGTAACTTCTCAGAACGGTTTTCTAGGAACCTCGGCACAATTGTGTTGTTAAGTTTATTGTTTTCTTGATCTCTTCGAGAGGTTTGTAAATAGCTTTATTATGCAGATTTTTTGACGAAATCGCTTTCTTAAGAGCATAAAAAGAACATAACAATCTATGACTATCCGACCAAACGTCTCCAGCCACTCACTGAAGTTCGAGACCCCGAGGGGACGCAGGTAATCGAAAGGAAGATCACTCACCGCAGCTTTGTGGATTCTTCGAAACCACCAACCGACCAATGTCAGTTGGGTATGTCCTCATTAAGAGTCGCTGCGGGAAGGCCAATCCTATAGAAGGCCGCAGCTCCCGCGTGATTGCGTAACACTCTTCTCTACGATTCACTTTTCGATCGGTGACATACATCCAAAATGCCTCGAGGTTTTTACATTCGCGCAATTGCGACTTCTGTGCCACGACCTCCACGGTGACCTCAAAAACGCCTCCGTTATGCTTTTGAATTCGGTGACTCTCCAGGGCAGTAGACTCTTCCAATCGCGTCATGCCAACCATGTGCTCCTTAACCCTCACGTGCACTGGTCTTGCCGTTTCGCCAGTATACTCATCACCGCAATCACGGCAACTAATTTTGAAGACCACCCTAGACATGATACAGTCACCCTCCCGTATGGACAGACCGCACAGTTTGAGGTTGTACATAGGCGATCGCATAGCCCATTCCGAACCTGGCGCTTAATCAGATTGAAGGGTGGTACGTTTACAATAACAAATAAATTTTCCAAACCCGATCTCTTAAGACACTTTTTGATAGAGGCACTGACCCTATCAGAAATCCTTATCATGACCCTACAAAAGGAAGCTTTCCTTCAGTTGAGTTACTAACATGTCTGAGGATAACACCGCCAGCAGAAGCTCTTCGTGTAGTTAAAAAATTATAGTAACCATTCGACCGAGCTATATCGCATACAATTTTTAGCGACTCTTTTCGCTCATCCTTTCCTTTGCAAGCCTTCTTAGCATTGCGGAACATATTCCTAACAACCGCTCGTTTTACATAAAAAGGATGAGCTGAAAGATAATGGACAATGATGCTCTTATTCCTGGGCTTTCTGTACCTATTCGTAACAATCATATCGCTCTGTAACCTCACCTGAACCTTTAAAAAGGAAGCCAGTTTCCGGTCGGCTTTTCCCTGTTGCCTTGAATTGAAGGAGAGATCCCTTTTGTATACCATTTACTTCTGATGAGGTCAGCGCCTTCAACACAAGGTGTCTAAGAAGATCGGGTTTCTAAATTTAGTTGCTATTGGAAACGTACCACCCTTCGATCTGAAAGAAAGCCTAGTTGGAACAGGCGATACGATCGCCTATGTACAACCTCAAACTGTGCGGTCTGTCCAGATGGAAGGAAGGGTGATTGTAACATATCGGGGGTGGTCTGCAAAAGTTCTTTCCGTGAATGTGGTGATGAGTGTATTGACGAAAGGAGCAGGAGGTTAAAGAGCACATAGAGGGATTGAGGAGATTGAAAGAGTCTACTGCTTCAGGGAGTCACCGAGTTTAAAAGCATAACAGAGGCGTCTTGGAAGTCGCCGTGGAGGTCGCGGCACAGGAATCGCGACTGTGCGCGCATAAAACCCTCGAAGCATTTTGGATACAGGTCACCGATCCAAAAATGAATCCTATTGAAGAATGTCTCGCAAACACGCGGGAGCTGCGGCCTATATAAGGTTGGCCTTCCCGCAGCGACTTCGAATGAGGGCATACCCTAGCTGGCACTGGTCGGTTGGTACCATCACTTGCTGGGTGGTTCTGAGGAATCCACAAAGCTTTAGTTAGTACTTCTCCCTTCGATCACCTGCGTGATCTTCTCGAACTTCAGTGAGTTGGTGGAGACGTTTGGTCGCATAGTCATGATCCTTTCAGGACCTAAAGGAGGCGATTCCGCCGAAACGTCAGCCTAGTAAAGCTAATTTACATACCTCGTGGAGAGCCCGAGAAATCAAACTCAGCGATACAATTATTCAGAAGTTTTGTTGTGGGGAGTTCCCCACTCCATAACCTCCGATAGTGGCCACTAGGAAATCCGATTTTAATCACATGGATTCTGCAGTATGATCAACCTTGGTATTAAAAGTGTGCTCCAGACCCCACAAGAAGTGAAATAGTTTCGGAAGCGCTATGCAAAAGGCCGACAGCAACTTGTTGATCATAGTTGCGTGTCACATTCGACGCCTTCTATAGTCTGAGCTTGAGTGGAAGCCGAAGGCAACTGAATTCAGTTTTGACGTACTTATGTGATAAGAGATTGGTGACAAACACTTTTTTGAAATTGCTTTGTGTTATTGGCTTGATAGTCGTTTTCGGAGATGTAATATCTTTCTCATCACAATTTTGGCCCAGCCTGCGTAATGGACTCTTGATAGATGAGTTATTGATTGTTTCACTCGTAAAACCCCTCGTAGGAACATACCATTTAGGCAAGGGGTGCCGTGAGATGGATGTTGACTGAAGACTAATAAGTTGTATTTAAGGCTCCGTTCCGCCAACGGAAGGAGAAAGTGAAAAGAGAAGAGGTGGAAAGACGAGTACGAGAAGACCAAGAAAAGTATTCGGACAAATTTAGTGAGGCCTCCCGGACTCTTTGCCGGTAATGCGTGTTTATTTATCTCAAAATGAGGATTTCCGTGCTGGATGTAGAGTCGTGTGCCTTACTTTCCCAGTGTGTTAGGTTGATGCATAAGTTCTTTCCATCGACTTTTTTGTAAATATGTCGATAGCGAACCAGCCTGAAGATTAGAGGTATGCTCCATCACCATGCACTGCTCGACGTCAACGCTCAGCCAGTTTGTCGATTCCGTTCTCTCAGAGGGACGGGCTGGGGCTTGAAGAAGTCGTCTAGTGCCTCTCTGACCTTATCTTGTGTCGAACTACGAACTTTCGAACGGCACTGTGACCTGCATATGCAGAGTGGGGGAGTGATAACCAGTGTGATGAAAGAGTATCATGCACACTTCACGGACACATGATTGCGAACTGCCAACATTAATTCAAACGAAATATAGAAGGATCAAAAGAGGTGGAAAATACTTATGCATTAACCAGATACTGCTGGGAGAGATTGGGTGTATGATCTGCTTACTGGATGAAAAGTGGCTTCCATACTAAAACGAAGCTATTGATCGTGTGCTTCATTGAGTATGGTCTCAAAAAGCAAATCTCACGTATTTATTTCAAATTTCAATAATGTCTTGATCAAATCTATTTGAATATAGGGAGGCGAGTAATCTACGCCATTAGTATTCTGTACGACAGCAGTTCACCAAAACAGTTCAGGTCGCGGATTCGTAGGTGGGGCGATAAAGGTGATCGATATCAGGATTCAATCTTTCTCCGGATAGGTGTGGCACGATTCAAGGTGCTTCGCGCTTGGCATATTTTTATGCAGGGTGCTCTATGAAACGAGGGTGCTCTCGTCACTGGGTGCCTTCATCGTCATGTTACCTTCGTAAAGTGGTTATACACGCCAGCAATTATCTCTTCAATCCTGTTGTATCTAGAAAATAGTCGTCAGGACAGGACCACACTCTAAAATTTCGCAACCGTGCTGAGTGCCCGCGAACCGCACGACTCTTCATGAGTCATTCCTTGGAACCACGTGACTCTTCACGAGCCATTTGTCGCGGCACTTCATCTGCATCCATTCGAAGCCGACGCTTGTGATTCTTGGACTCCACGTGAGAATCGCCCATGCTTCACTCATAGGGCCGTATGCATAACGCCCAGGGTGGGGAAGGGGAGAGTCTCCCCAAGGAAATGTTTGCGAAGGGCGCGAACGTTCAAATGGGGTTTTTGCCTTCGTTCTGGGTCAAGATAGTTGCAATGGGGCAAAGTTTTCTCCTATAAACAGGTGAAGAATCGACAGCCCTCGAGGATCATGTGATGTTTGCCTCTGCGACCTTACCTTAACGAGAGCTCAGAGAAGCCCGACCCCATTGACTCTCCACCCTGGGAGGGGAGGCCTCCTCAAATAAGCAAGTTTTTCTTTCTAGATTTACATCAGTTATCGTGAGCATTTTGCATCACGATCCTGGTGTGATTTAAGAAGGAAACCGAAATTATTCCTATAAGCAACTCGTAAGTAGCTTTTCGGTTGATTGGTATAGTATTTCATACCACTTCTCCACTTCTCGCCTAGGTGCGAAAACTTGACGCCTATTATGTCCACANCAAGTATTGCTCTGATTTTATTCTACTGCTGCAACCAACTACCAATTTATTTAAATTGCTGACGTCGTTGCTGTAGAGCAGTTTAGTTTTCAAATATACAGGTTTTTCTTTCTAGACTTACACCAGTTATCGTGAGCATATTGCATCACGATCCTGGTGTGATTTAAGAAGGAAACCGAAATTATTCCTATAAGCAACTCGTAAGTAGCTTTTCGGTTGATTGGTATAGTATTTCATACCACTTCTCCACTTCTCGCCTAGGTGCGAAAACTTGACGCCTATTATGTCCACATCTTTCCGAGAAAGTGAAAGATGAAGTGTGGAAGATGCATAATGATAGCAGCAGTAAGAAATCCCGGCGCCCATGGCAAAAAAGCATGTTTTCGAGCAAAATTATGTGCATAGCATGAGTAAAGGTTGAAATAGACGTTGCAACGGACTGAGACGCTTCGATGCGGCCGACTTAGTGAGAGATCGATCGACCAGATATATATCAGTGATAGCGACGAGGAATAAATATCAGGAGATATGAAGCATGATAGAATGAGGGTTGCAGTGCTGGAAGTAGATGCGTTGAGGAAGATTGTGTGGAGTAGATGCGCTGAGGAAGATAGTGTAGGTGCAGGATCTCGCAGTAAGAAGTTCCTTAGCCGGAAAGTATTTCGGAGAAGTCTAAAGGTTGGAAAGTGAAGCAGCTGGTACGTATTGATTAAATACTATGGAATGGATTGGTGCTTGCTTGGTTCTAATTACCTCTCCTCAACTGCTGAAGTTGGTCTTGAAGGAAGGTTCTGTAAAAACGGTGAACTAGCCCAACTCTCCCGCCAAACGGTATTTGATGACTTTTTACAAACTTCTTAACACATTACCACCTATTCATCTGACATTTTGTAAAAAATTGGGATTTGTTCGTGGCATTTTCTCAAAACGCTTCACTTTCTTACTGTTTTCTTCATTTATCTATTTTTTACACAATTAATCGTGGTATTGGAGCAGTACTATAACATTTGGATATTCGTATTTAGTTAAGGTATCTTTGCACTAGGTGCGCGATAACTGGATGTGAGTTCCTAATTTTCCACAACCCTCAAAATTCATTTCGAAGAACATATTAACCTTTTGCTACTTCCCTGAGCGTTTTCAGGGTAAAATTCCCCTCCACTTTTTTAGAGTGCTTTTCCTTGGTAAAATTCCACACATTCTCCAAATTCCGGTTCATCTAATCGAGAAATACGAGCTTCGGATACCAATTTAACACTGTCTTGGAGGCGTGAAATACTGCGCTCCGGCGTCACTTTTCTGACCCTCGGCGAAAACAAACACTTCCTTGGGGAGACTCTCCCCTTCCCTACCCTGGGCGTTATGCATACGGGCCATAGCCAATTGTCCATTTCAGAAGTGGTGTCTGACATCGGCGACGAAGGCAATTGTCTATGCAGGCATAATTTCAATTTTTATCTTTTGTTTCTGTTAGAAATTGAGGTGCCTGTACGCACACATTTCTTCGACCGTCTTCAATACTTCGCACGCAATTCGGCCAACGGTATCAGTGGAGATGCCATCCTCACGGAAAGTTCGGCAGCGATCCAGTTTTCGTCCTTTATCGAGGAACGCTTGATTGCAGCCCGCCGTCCGTGAGCGGAGTGGACACGTACCGCCTTGCTTTTATTACTTTACCTTTTAAAGTGCCACCTCTATGGGGCATTATAACATGGTTATTTCGCTGAAAGCACCGCCTACAATTGAAATGTTTCTGAGTTTTTCAGATAGGTTGCACCTGTCACTCCCAAGGATAACTCATGAAACACCGTCAGGTCAAACAACCACTTAAACCGTAGGTGAAAAGGGTCCAAACCGGCTTGGCAGATGACGCACCCAAAAGTAGCTGTGTTGTAACCGCCTTGTTAAGGCTGCATCATTCACCATAAAACGTTAGCACAGCGACGAATGTACGCTTATGTGGGAAACACTCAGACGGTGACGCACTTCTACGGAACCTGCAATCATATGTTCCTTTTTTACGTGCGGATACAGTTTTTGGCCCGTATGCATAACGCCCGGGGTAGGGGAGGGAGAGGAAATGTTTGCCGAGGGCGCGAGTGTTCAAATGGGGTTTTTGCCTTTGTTCTGTGTCAAGATAGTTACAATGGAGCTAAGTATTTTCCTATAAACTGGTGAAGAATCGACAGCCCTTGGTAATCATGTGATGTTTGTCTCTGCGACCTTACCTTAGCGAGAGCTCAGAGAAGCCCGACCCCATTGGCTCCCCGGGGGATGAATCTACCCCTAGAATAGAGCTGGGGCGCCGATGGTCATGTAGACCGCAACTCTGCTATCCACTACACTATTCGACTGAGCGCTTATTCCTCTGACTTCTGCTGCCGAATTCGTCAAGTATTGCTCTGATTTTATTCTACTGCTGCAACCAACTACAAATTTATTTAAATTGCTGACGTCGTTGCTGTAGAGCAGTTTAGTTTTCAAATATACAGGTTTTTCTTTCTAGACTTACACTAGTTATCGTGAGCATATTGCATCACGATCCTGGTGTGA